TATCTATTAAAGGCCATTAAGTAAAATAGTAGCATGAGAGGAAAAATCATAAACAAAAATAAATTGGTCTCCCTTTTTTTGGGGGAAAGAAAATGTTTAAAGAAAGTTGTTTTGCGCATGTGTAGAATTTTTTTTTTTTAAGGACACCTGACCATTATTTGACTGTTGGCTCCTGAATAGAATAGAAAACTATTTTATTTATTTATTTTTTTTTTTAAACCCAACTAATGGATGAAAAATCAGATTTTTATAAGATTCCTCAAACACGTTCACACTCAGTGGGCGCGTCGTTGAGCGGTCGAAACGTTCGCTTTCCCGACACACGCACGCACAAAACAAACACACACACACACACACACACACATATATATATATATATATATATATATATATATATATATATATATATATATATTCAACAAGGCACAAATGTGAAATAGATATATTATGTATGTATCTGTATATGTATCTCAGCATATTCATCTATCTATCTATCTATCTAACAGTCTGTTTCTGACTATCTATCAATAGGTAGTTATCTATCAGCATATTTGTATCTATCTATCTATCCCTATCTATCTATCTATCTATCTATCTATATATATATATATATATATATATATATATATATATATGTTATACGATAATACCTATTCTATTGTAATAGACTCTCCCCACATAATAAGTAGTAGTAATAGTAGCGGTCGCCAGTTGGGCTCAGTGGTGGCTTGTATTTCACTAAGTCGACCTAAATTAGGTTCGACTTACAAAACGTTAAGAACTTGAAAGAAGAGTTAATGACGCAGCAATCTAGTTGTGATGGTTGATACTTCAATGTCCAACATTGACCGACTCACTCAACACCAGTGAGCCCACTGGCGCCCGCTACTATTACTACTACTAATTATGTCTGGTAGAGTCTATTACAATAGAATAGGTATTATCTTATAGCAATATATATATATATATATATATATATATATATATATATATATATATGGAGGAAGTGTGGATTTGTAAAAAGTGACTATTATGGCTAATAATGCAAGACTCTTCGGTAAACCGAATCGAGTTCTCTCAGTCACTGTGTGTTTATCTAAAAATAAATACGCCTAAATTCACTTACATCCTTGCCGTGCGCCAACGGCTTAGTGGTAGAATTCACGACTGGCGGGAATCCAAGAGGCAACCGGACGTTTAACCACACTGATGAGCTGTGATAAAGCGAAACAGTCTGTCTGTCGATGACAATATATATGCTCTTGAAAAATGTATTTCGCTTTAGCTCTCTGGTGAAGAAATGTGGGTTTGTAAACAGTGACTATTACGGATAATAATGCAAGACTCTTCGGTTAATCTAATCGCGTTCTCACAGTCAATGTGTGTTTATCTAAAAAATAAATACGCTTGAATTCACCTTCATGTCTGCCTTCCGCCAACGGCTTAGTGGTAGAATCCCTGACTGACACCAATTCAGTCGAGTTTCAATCATAGCTAGAGGCAACTGGATGTCTAGCCACACTGATTAGTTGTGATACAGCGAAACAGTCTGTCTGTGGATGGCTATATATATAGGATTTTATTTTGTTTTTCTCAAAGAAAACCAATAATGGATGAAAAATCAGTTTATATATATAGATATATATGTGTGTGAGTGTGTGTGTAGGAAGTGGTTTAGTTGCTAGTTCATCCACATTAAATTTACGTCCACATTCTTAGAACTTTTTACCATTCCAGGCAGAACTTCTGTTATGACAATGTTGGCTATATAATATAAGTTGGTGTAAACAAAAATAAAAACAATCCAAATGGAATTGGCTAGATTATATAACGTAAAGAAATATAAAAAAAAATAAATAAAAATACCTAGCGTGCACATGCGTAATTGCATCAACGTAAACATAATCCGATGAAGCCCAAAAGTACGAAACACGACACTCGAAAATTTTTTATACTTTGTCATACATCTTTCGCTCAAAACATTTCTTGATATATAAAAATGTATCTATTGTTTCATATCGTAAAGGTCCGTGTTCGATTCTCGACACTGGATGCCCACTGCTTATGATTTCTAAAAATAGGACGAAACTTCCTGCATTCTGTTGAGGATTCTTCTAGACTCAATGAATTAATTATGATTATTCAAATCCCCTTAATTTCTTTCTTTCTCTCTCTCTCTCTATCTCTCTCTCTCTCTCTCTCTCTCTCTCTATATATATATATATATATATATATATATATATATATATATGTAAGCAAATATATGGATATAGATCCGACAGTATGAAGAAAAATATACGGAAAAAACAAACAAAAATCCTTATATGCAATTATGCTGTTTTAATGTTAATATAATGTCAACGTCGGACGTTTTGGTCTAATAAACCATCCTCAGGACATATTCATAAAATATAATTAACATTATCAATTCAACATGAAAAAGACGATGGACATAAGAACAAGACTTATCCAAACAGATAACTGAAAGTTTTTTAAATGTTTTTTTCATTTTTCATTTTTCATTTTTCATTCAAAATACTCAAATTTTAGCAATACGTTTTTTCACAGCGTCGCCCACGTGACGACAACGTGACCATGTTTAAACGGAACGCTGATCTTATATATAAGTATTTTTGTTTGTTTTTCCGTATATTTTTCTTCATATATATATATATATATATATATATATATATATATATTCATAATATTATGGGTCAATATATATATATATATATATATATATATATATATATATATATATATATAAATTTCCAAGAGGCTGAAACACTAATATCACATGGTTATAATTTATTACATTGAAATCATAATCACGATCCAATTCATCAGACCTACAAATTCAAAAAGCTACATATATATAAAAAATCTCCTCTCTATATATATAAACTATATATTTTTTTAATATATATATATATATATATATATATATATATATATATATATATATATATATATATATATATATATATAAGTTTTATATATATATATAAATATATGTTAAAGCTATATATATATATATATATATATAGATAGATAGATAGATAGATAGATAGATAGATGTGTATGTATGCATGTGAGTGTGTGTGTATACACAGAACGAGGCAATAATGGACATACCCATAGAAAGTCGATTTTTGCATTTTTACCACAATAACTGAGTAATAGAATTCATTTATTAATACAGGAAATAAACCCAGGTGTGCATATGTAGATACAGAAGTTAAAATTATTATTTTGCTGGGTACCTTTTGCTTTAATAACGACCTTAATTCTTTGTGGCATGCTATAGATTTGTTTATTAAGTCAACGTCCTTCGCCAGATTTTTTTTCCAGTAATTCTTTAATCCGCGAAAAAACTCATCTTCTGTGTTGACCTTCCTATTACGGACACGATTGTCCATTATCACCCAAAGTTTTTCAGTTGGGTTAAGGTCAGAAGACTGATTAATACCCAATATTAATAAATGAATTCTATTACTTACTTGTTATAGTTAAAATGCAAAAATCGAATTTCTGTGCGTGCAGCCATTTTTAAATGTGCTTTATATAGGAGGCACGGTGGAGTAATGGATAGTGGCTCGGATTGTGTAATCAGAGGGCCGAGTTCGAATTCCAGTCGAATCCATTACATCCACGTACGTAGGTATGAATCCTCTTCTTCTCCCCCAGTCATGGGTAAATAGGAGAACAGACCGGATTCTATAACCTTGGATGGCAACTAGTCTACCGCAGAAAGACTACGGGAAAATATGCCTCGTCAGTCATGTATCGAAAGATACATGATCGCTTACGCGTGTATCACGTATGGCACATAACTGACTGCATATATATATATATATATATATATATATATATATATATATATATGTATATATATATGAAGAAATTTACTTTTAAGGTGTGCTATATTTATGAGATAAAGTACTCAATATCAGAGAGAGAGAGAGAGAGCGTGTGTAAATATAAAAGTGAACATTGAAGTCAATACTTAGAGGCGACAGGCTGTTTCATGCTAGACGCAATCGTAAGGTGGCCTGACGATTGCGTCTAGTATGAAACAACTTGTCACCTCTAATTGTTGACTACAATGTTCACTTTTATATATACAAGAGAGAGAGAGAGAGAGAGAGAGAGAGAGAGAGAGTTAGTTGCTAGAATTTAAGATTTATAAAATCTAACCATATCTATCTATCTTGGCCCTTCCACATTTCATTTTCTGAAAAACACAGAGAGAGCTAGCTAGAGAGATAGGCACGAATTAAAAGGAAGTATTCAGCATCCATTGACCGAATAGCCATCAGTATTTTCGGATGAAATTTCTTAAATATTTCTCTGAAAAGAATTTCCCAGATAAATAGGTTTCTCAAGGCCAAAATCTGTTATCATTCTAGAATTCAGCTGTTGAAATTTAAGTAGACTCTCGACTTCGTTTCTGTGTAGAGATTTTCCAAGCGTAGCTCAGATATGGCACAAGGTCGCAACTATGGGTCATCCTGATAGAATCGAACACCCATATTCAGTCGTAATATTTCTAGCAAGAAAAGCTTTCAAGCCATTACACCACCCCGAGGTGGCTGACTTCGTTTCTGTGTTTGCCTGTCTTCTAGAGCCACCGACCCTCTCTTTTGCCTGTACAAGTACATTTGTGTTTGTTCAACACCCACAAAGCCTACCTGCCACTATAATGAGCGAGCTTTATTCATAGTTTATGGGAAAGGGCACATCATCTGGCTTGATCAACGCTTTGAACAAGGCGTGTTCGAGCCTCGGTCACGATCTCCTAACTACCCACTTTAAATTCACAGGGTTTGTGGTATAATTTTCAGTCACCGCCCAAAGGTACAATACGAGAGCATCAAGAAATAACTCTTCTGACCAGTCGACCATGTTGAAATTCAAATCCGGGTCACATGGTTGGTAATCGAACATTCTGACTACTCGCTCATGCGCTCACATATGTATACGGTTGTACAAGCATGAAGTCACAAGTCAATTTTATGAAAAGCTACAGATAGATAGATATGAACAGAGATAGATAGATATGGACAGAATAAGATAGATAGATAGATAGATAGATAGATAGATAGATAGATATGAACAGAGTGAGATAGATAGATAGATAGATAGATAGGTAGATAGATAGATATGAACAGAGTGAGATAGATAGATAGATAGATAGATAGATAGATAGATAGATAGATAGATAGATAGACCAAGTGAGATAGATAGATAGATATGTACAGAGTAAGAGAGATAGATATGAACAGAGTGAGATAGATAGATATGTACAGAGTGAGAGAGATAGATATGGACAGAGATAGATAGATATGAAGAGAGAGAGAGATAGATAGGTAGATAGATAGATAGATAGATAGATAGATAGATAGATAGATATGAACAGTGTGAGATAGATATGAAGAGAGTGAGATAGATAGATAAATATGGACAGAGTAAGATAGATAGATATGAAGAGAGTGAGATAGATAGATAGATAGATAGATAGATATGAAGAGAATGAGATACATAGATAGATAGATAGATAGATAGATAGATAGAAGATAGATAGATAGAAAGATAGATAGATAGATAGATAGATAGATATGAACAGTGTGAGATAGATATGAAGAGAGTGAGATAGATAGATATGGACAGAGTAAGATAGATAGATATGATAGATAGATAGATAGATAGATAGATAGATAGATAGATAGATATGAAAATAGGTAGATTTTATCTCAATTACATATTAATTAAAAATATATTTAAAAAAAGAAACTTATTGGAAACCCATGTAGTGTGAAAAAATAAATATTGACGTCTTTATTTGAAAACAAAAAGACAATTAATCGTAATGTTTAAAATAAATGGAATAGATTTCTTATTTCAATTTCAGATTTATCATGGAATTGATTAACGTTGCTCAAAGACAACGATGTCAGATATTTACACTCTATTTTCCTTCAAGGTAATTGGCACTCCATCGATTGTATGATGCCACAGAACAATTCTAACGAGAAAGATTACATCTGTGATATATTACGCCAAATAAGCTGCTGATTAAAAATAGATAGATAGATAGATAGATAGATAGATAGATAGATAGATATGAAATCACACACACACACACATTTATATATATATATATATATATATATATATATATATATATATATATAGATAGATAGATAGATAGATAGATATGAAATCACATAGATAGATAGATAGATAGATAGATAGATAGATAGATAGATAGATAGATATGAACAGAATTTGATAAAAAGATAGATATGAACAGATTGAGATAGGTAGATATATAGATAGATATGAAGAGAGTGAGATAGATACATAGGTATAAAGAGAGTGAGATAGATAGATAGATAGATAGATAGATAGATAGATATTAACAGAGTGTAATAGAAATAGATATGAACAAAATGAGATAGATTGATACTAACAGAGTGAAATATATAGAAATAGACAGATATGAAGAAAATGAGATAGAGAGATGATTAGATAGATAGATAGATAGATAGATAGATAGATAGATAGATAGATAGTAATTGGCACTCCATCGATTATATAATGCCACAGAACAATTCTAACATGAAAGATTACATCTCGTCTATGTTACGCCTAAGAAGCTTCTTATTTAAAATGGTAAGTATAACGTATGTCTCATATGTCGATTTTCGTTGGGATATTTCCAGTATGGATTTAGTACACTCTTGGATTAAAAATAGATTGTTTTATTTATTCTGAGGGGAATTTTTTTCTTGAAGAGGTGATTAAGTTAAATGCCTATGTGTTTTTCATAAACGTCCGTGTCAGAACGGAGTTGTATAATCCGTAAAAATTGGTAAAGAATTATTAATATTTTACCTTCATATGATATCATCTGTTCAAATTTACATAAACTCTCAGGAATAAAAGACTTGAGGTCTGTTTTCTACGAACAGACATTATTGTTCGACACCCAACCAAATTTAAAGTTTTAAGGCACAAGAACGCGAAATCCATAACGGTCAGAACGTATTTGCACAGGAAGATTCCAAGAACTGCATGAAACTGCAAGTTGTGCTATCGATGTTGGTTATTATCTATATTCCCTAAACTTCAAATATACAAATCAACCATTCGCCCCTGTATGGGGTATTCCTGCCATATATGGTCTGGTGCACCGTCTGTTTACCTCGGAGTTCTTGACAAGATCCAGAGGCGAATATGTAATATAATTGGCCCTGATCTGGCATCTCGTCTACAGTCACTCTCTCATAGACGCGGCGTCGCCTCTCTCTGTCTTTTCTACAAATACTTTCATGGTAATTGCTCCAATGAGCTGCTTTCACTGGTTCCCAGACTCCTTGAATTCAAGCGCCCTACGAGGCTGGTATCCCGCTCTCACCCTTACACTGTAGAAACTTTTAAATGTAGCCGTCTCTTCTACTCCAATAGCTTCATACTTCGCACCTCTCGAATGTGGAACACCCTTCCCAATTACTGTTTCCCTGAGAGCTATAATCTCCAACTATTCAAATGTAATGTCAATCGACATCTCCAGTTGCCTTGATCTACCCACTATCCTTCTCATCCTTTCTTCTATCACTCCTATCTGCTCTCGCTCCAAATCTTCTGCAACCCCCTGCATCCTAGTGGCTTCCCGCCTTGCTCAGAGCGTAATGCTTAAATAAACAAAAAAAAACAAAAACAAAAAAAACCCAAATGTCTGTGTGTGTGTGTGTCTGTGTTTTAGGTAGCAATCCTTCTTTCATGCACATTTCATTGAATACGACAGACAAGGTGCTTTTATTTAGTTTTTTTTTACAATTTCTCATACGATCTAATAATTTCTTTTCGGATGATAAATTATATAAAAAAACTATCCTAATATTCTTTTTATTATACATTTAGCCATTTTTAAGGATTAAATATTTTAACTGTTAAATAAGAAATAGTTTGTTTTATGTATGTCTTATAAAATGTTTTCATTTTTCAAAACACGGTCAAGATATTGTGTCCATGTTCTTATTTAACAGTTAAAATATTTAATCATTGAAAATGGCTAAATGTATAGCCGAAAGCGCTCGGATAAAATGAACAGTTTTATATAATTTATCTTCCGAAAAGAAAAAAGAATTATTAGATCGCATGAGAAATTGTATAAAACACAAAGTAAAATCACCTCATACATAAAGACATTTTTATTTTTATACATTCTTTTTTTATAGATAAAATATTTAAGTAAATATTCTGTTTATAATAAACAGTATTATTAACATTTACCGGTCAGAATGTCCGATAAATTTTCGTAGAAAATATTCGTCCTCCGACAGGAATCGAACCTGCATCCTATACGGAACCGTCACATTGTCTGACGCGCTTTAAAGGATTGAGCCATAGAGGATCATTCAGTTTACACGGTCGATTATACTGCTTTTAAACAACAATCTTCTACGAATTTGCTCAAAGCGTATCCAAATGTAAACAAATGACGTCACACATTATGAAAGGTACAAAATCCGACAATTATTTTAAGACATTTTTATGTTTATACATAAACATAAAAATGACTTAAAATAACTGTCGTGCTTTAGCCAATTCATAACATATATATATATATATATATGGAGAAAGAGAGAGGGAGAGAGTAAGTGAGAGAGAGAGAGAGAATCAATACAAGTGAAAGATTGATTGCTGTTAACTTTGGCATCCTGACTCCATTGTTTCGGAGACGTACCCCGACGCCAGGATTTCTTCCGGTTACTCATCAGGGAGTATCAGCAATTGATTGCTTATACTTCCTAATTTTTTATATGCATTTCCCTGACGAAAAAGTTGACCATAAACATTATACCTGGCCAGATTCAGAGGTTTTCAATTTTTCAGAATACACAAACATATATATGAGCCGAGTGAGATAGATAGATAGATAGATAGATAGATAGATAGATATGAGCAGAGTGAGATATATAGATAGATAGATAGATAGATAGATAGATAGATAGATAGATAGATAGATAGATATGAACAAAGTGAGATAGATAGATAGATAGATAGATAGATAGATAGATATGAGCAGAGTGAGATAGATAGATAGATAGATAGATAGATAGATATGAACAAAGTGAGATAGATAGATAGATAGATAGATATGAAGATAGATATATAGATAGATAGATAGATAGATATGGGAAGAGTGATTTATATATATATATATATATATATATGTGTGTGTGTGTGTGTGTGTGTGTGTGTGTACGTGTGTGTTTGTGTGTGTGTGTAAGTGTTTGTTGGTAATGTATGTGTGTGCATGCGTGTCAACTTTATTTTCCGCAATTATATCATCGGCTTTATGATTACTTCTGGCCTAAAAGGGTTTTGCTGGTTTACACAAATGTGTGTTGTTTTTTTTTTTCTTTTTTTTGTGTTTTTTTTTGTTCTGTCAGCTACAAAAATCATTGGCGTGAAAACACTTTTCACAATGATCGAACATTTACTTATTTTATCATTCTATTTAGCCTTCATTTTTTTTTTCATTACAATCCAATTCGAGTCAACTCATTTCGCCATGCTTCCTTCGTCAACCATTCATCCATTTGCTTTGACACTTTACCAAAGAGAAGCAACGATCGATTTTAGCACCAATAAAAGGAAATCGATTTTGTTAGAAGTCTTTCACACTTCCGATTATACATTTCCGTTCTCCAAATGTAGCTAAACTAAAACCACGGTCAACACATTACATTCATATATATATATATATATATATATATATATATATATATATATATATATATATATATATATATATATGTTTGTGTGTATGTGATTTTGTGTCTGTGTAAAGAAAATGTCATATATATATATATATATATATATATATATATATATATATATATATATATATATATATATATATATACATACATGCACACATAAATTTTATTTTTACACACAAACGTATATATATATATTTATATATATATATATATATATATATTATATATATATATATATATATATATATATATATATATATATATATATATATATATATTTATATATATATATATATATATATATATATATATATATATATATATTAATTTATATATGTACATTTGTGGTTACTGAAAATCTGAAAGAATTACTAAAATCAGATATTTTTTTCTGGCAAATGAAACTATGCATATAGGTACATGTTGAACATATATATTGTTTAAAATTGGATATATTAATAGGGAATGACGTGCACAATATTTGATATATATATATATATATATATATATATATATATATATATATATATATATATATATATATGAATGACACAATATAGTGTTATAGTATTCTATACATAAGTGATAAAGTGTTCAATATCTTATGTGAATATAAAAGTGGACATTGAAGTCAACAGCCAGAGGTGTCAGCCTGTTTCATGCTAAACGCATTTGTCCGGCCTGTCAATTGCGTTTAGCTTGAAGAAGACTGTCACCTTTGGTTATTAATTTAAATGTTTACTTCATATATATCTTCAAATATGATCTTCAAAAATTTGTATAAAATGTAATAATGGCGGACAAAACTTCATCTAATAAAATGTACTTAGGATCCAATTCATCAAACCTAAATATTCAAAAAGAAATCGGAAAAAAACCCTTTTAATAAGAAATAATTTTAGTGAGATTATATGTATGAGATTGGGGACAAATGTGGGAGAAAAATGAAACCTCTAGGGAGGGGTAACAGTCGAGAACTGAAGGTAACTGAAGGCCTAAAGTGAAGGTGGGATTTAAATTTTTAAAATTTCTCTCTTTAAAATTTAAATCCCCATCTTCACTTTTAGGCCTTCCTGTTCCCTGTTCTTCTCTCGTCTGTTACCCGTCTCTAGAACTTTCTTTTACACCTCACTTTCGACCCCCACTCTCATACATACACTATCACTAAATTTTATTTCTTATTTCCGGAGATATTTTTTATGGAATATTAGTGTTTAAACCTTTTTATTATATATATATATATATGTATATATATATATATATACTCGACTCTCTCAACCAATTCGATTTATGAGGGTCAAGCTGTTCAGTATTTATCGATCCACCTACGAGGATAGAATGTGGCACAAGGCCGGTTTAATGTGGGTATCCCCGAGCCCGTAGGCTCGGCCAAAAATATAACCTTTTTAAACCCGCCTTGACGGATTCAGGCCTTGTCTACCTCCCCGAACGAAACCTTGCCCTTCGGCAAAGCTTCTTTCGGGTTCCTCTCTGCTAATGCAGAGAGTTCGACAGACGCCGACTCAGAAGCTCACAAAGGCAGCGTACTACACTTTGATCCTAGCCTCCGGGCCGAGCAGCTCAGTTACTAGGAAGTAAAAGCCCGACACCAGGACATGGGATTTGATTATAGTGGTGAAGGTTTTGGGCTGAACCATCCACACTTTTTGAAGCGCCGGATACAGAAACCTGGTACATATATATATATATATATATATATATATATATATATATTTCCTGTGACATTTTAAATTTAAACATGTTAAATCTGTTCTCATTTCCTTCATTACGTCGAAATCCCTCCCATTTTTTTTTTTTTTTTGCAAAATTCCCCTTCTCTTTTTTTTAATGCTTGGTTTTTATTGGTGGTAAAGAAAATAACCTGTGTTTAACGGGGGCACAGGCGGTTTTCAAGTATGAAGGGAAAAGTCTTATTTTCATTGATGATAATCAAGACAGTTTTTATTTATTTATGCAATTGGCGCCCCACTATCTTAAAGTAACTAGACACTTGTGCATATTAATTGAAACAAAACGAATAATTCCATCATTATTTACTTTTTTTCGTGTTTTTCCGATGAAACATGACATATTTTAGTACTTCGTATGGCCATTTCGCGATGTCAATCCTTGCAGATTGACCGCAGATTCTCGATTGGAGTTTTCGGGCCAGTCTATAGTACTTTGATTTGCTCACTGGTAAGGTTTACTGGTAAATTTTACTACGCTTCTTTGGAGTAATGACCAACGCATATAATGACCGTAGGACAACAAATCGACAGTCGAGACAATAGTGTCTGGGCGTGATAAAAATCCGACGCAATCACAGATGACGCAATATTTTTCAAAGCCAAACAAATTTCACAATACACTCCGAAAATAGGTTCATATTACTGCACACTACTGCAATTGACTTAATCTGAGAAAAAATAGAAATCGATAACACCCTATCGCTTCAGTGGGTCTACAACTGATTGTATGGCGAAAGAAAGCTTACTAATGTGGTTGTTTCAATTAATTTGCGCAAGGATCTACATACCAAAATATTTGGACTTAGTTACACACAAATTATTTACATTATCCTGAATGCATAGGAATCTACAGTGCTTGATGACAGTCATTTCCGCTCCTAAAGTATGATTTATTCGTTTATTTTACGGGTTATCAACCCTTTCTGAGTAATTTAAAGCCGACATAGATATTGTTTAACTTTTGCGAGTGAATATTATATTTACACATTTGATAGAGTAACAATAATTTATTTCCAAATATGTACTAATATTTACTCTATAGGTGGGGGAAAAGAGGCGGATTCATACCTTACCTAAGGTAATTTTTTGATTAAGTGAATTTTAACGAAAGTAACTGTCATTTGATCTCGGATCTCTGGTTTCCCAGTCCGAGCCGTCATTCTATTACACTACATACATATATTCTTTCTCTGGCTTTCTTCTCTGTTTAAGATTCAGACATCCATTGTTTCAGACTTTCTCGTTTTCTTCTCCATCATTCATGTCAGGAAATTCAAGTCTCCTTTGTTTCAAGACGTTTAATTACTGGAACTCATTTTCAATTTACTTCAGCGTTTCTTTTCCTGGCCTTGTTTCTTCCCACGAGAAAATCCTATTTGAAACGAAGACACATTCCACCAACTCTTCCTTCGTCTCAAAATCCCGCCACTACGATGTCCCTTCATTCAACGTCTTCGTTCTTCCTGTCAGTCCTTGATTCGATTTATCGAACCGGCTGCCAGATCAGCTCAATCAAAACCGATCCGAGATTCGTGTGCTTCATCGCTACAGTTCTTTATCAGGCGTGACTGTCATTAATCTGACCACCCGCTCCCGGAAAAACCCGGGAAAGCACTCCGACCCCATCATTTTTCATCAGTAGTAAAACAAGTGTAATGACGGAGAAAAACGACGCGTCGTACTGGCTTGTTTTCGGCAAGGAAGACTGAAACGGTTGTAGGTTTTGCCTTTATTGATATGTATTCTTCTGAATTGTAATTTACGACGCTACACGCACATACACGCACACACACACACAAGCACACACACACACATATATATATATATTAAGTACATTTTTATGTTTATATGTTCTATTTGTAGATACAAATATTTAAGTAAATGCTCCGTTTATAATAAACAGTATTAAGGAACTTCACCGGCCTGAACGTCCGAGAAATTTTCATAGAAAATATGCGTCCTCCGATAGGAATCGAACCTGTATGTTTGCAAACCGAAACGCTCCTCTATGGCTCAATCGGTAAAGCATGTCAGGCTATATAACGGTTCCGTATAGGATACAGGTTTGATCCCTGTCCGAGGACGCATGTTTTCTATGAAGATTTCTTGGACATTCAGGCCGGTAAATGTCATTAATACTGTTTATCATAAACATAGCATTTACTCAAATATTTGTAGCTATGAAAAGAATGTGTAGACATAAAAAAATTTCTTAAAATAATTGTCAGACCTTGTCCATTTCATTATATATATATATATATATATATATATATATATATATATATATATATATATATGTTATAAAGAAGAATATTTCCCCACAAGTTTGGTCTCGGATGTCGGACGAAAGACATACAAATACTCCTATTTCAAGTGGAGTAGCAGGAGTGATAGTAGCAGCTGTAGCCTTTGCTGAAAATAGTGATTGAAGTCTAAATATTGCCTCTCCTAGTTTCTGTTCTATAATTGCCAGGGGTGGTAGTATCTGTTTGGGACTCAACTATGGGCAAATAGTTAACCCCCAAACTGGAGAAAAAACACTATGAAAGTGTAAAGATAGGTGTTAATACCAGCAATAAATTTTTGAGCAAAAATTATTACCAGACATATATTTTTAAAGAAAATAAAGACATTAACAGCAATATTGTCGAGAAAAATATTATCTGCGATAAATTTCTGAAGGAAAAAATATTAGCAGGTATATATTTTTGCAAATAATCATTACCAGCAATACATTTTTCAAGAAAAGTAATGTTGCCAGTAATTTATTTTTGAAAATAAAATATTACCAGAAATGCATTTTTGGCGAAAAAATATTAGCAACAATAAAAACCTTGTTGGTATTAAGTAACCGATTGAGGTTGATATACCGTAAAAGAAAACAAACCAAACCAATATATACTGAGATAGATAGATAGATAGATAGATAGATAGATAGATAGATAGATAAAAAATATTATCAGCAATAAAATCTTGTCGGTATTAAATAACCTATTGAATTGTATATGTCGTAAAACAAAACAAACCAAACTAATATATACTGAGATAGATAGATAGATAGATAGATAGATAGATAGATAGATAGATAGAAAGAAAGAAAGAAAAAAATGAACACAGATGGAAACAGAATGAGATAGATAGATAGATAGATAGATAGATAGATAGATAGATAGATAGATAGATAAAAAATATTATCAGCAATAAAATCTTGTCGGTATTAAATAACCCATTGAGGTTATATGTCGTAAAACAAAACAAACCAAACTAATATATACTGAGATAGATAGATAGATAGATAGATAGATAGATAGATAGATAGATAGAAAGAAAGAAAGAAAATGAACACAGATAGAAACAGAATGAGATAGATAGATAGATAGATAGATAGATAGATAGATAGATAGATAGATTGATAGATAGATAGATAAAAAATATTATCAGCAATAAAATCTTGTCGGTATTAAATAACCCATTGAGGTTTATATGTCGTAAAACAAAACAAACCAAACTAATATATACTGAGATAGATAGATAGATAGATAGATAGATAGATAGATAGATAGAAAATGAACACAGATAGAAACAGAATGAGATAGATAGATAGATAGATAGATAGATAGATAGATAGATAGATAGATAGATAGATAAAAATATCACCAGCAATAAAAATCTTGTCTGTACTGAATAACCCAATGCCGTAAAAAAATAAAATAAATAAAATCGGACATTATTTTCCGAACCGCCTAATACCAGGAAAGATAAGACAGTTTGGAATATCTGTTTATAATCCTGAAGTGATACCCAGAGAAATGGTTACTTCAACTAATCTGTCATAAATGTGGGTGGGAGAGAAGATCCCTGACTCTTTATGAATCACAAATGAATGTATCAGTCATTTCTTTATGCCTACACCAATATTAGCACTGCATACCAATCTTTCACTCCAAGTTTATCCCCCTCTCGTAATAAGCATTTGTGGCTATCTCTAATCTGATGTAATGATTATGGTCCATATTGGCCTTCCATAATGACCTCCTTGCTTCACTCACTCAGCGGTTGACAGAGAGACAGCTAACAGCTGAATGTCAAATTCTTTCGCCCCAGGAAGCTTTCGAGTAGCTCTGTGAGAATGGAAATTCTGAACAAGACAATGACTCGGGATTAAGACCGCTGTGTGCAAATCGGTTCTGTGGACGGCTGTCTCAATGCTGCAAAGCCTTACAGATGTTTTGAAGCTAAATCGACGTGCGTGCGCACCGTCGAGCTACTGTCTGTTTGTCGCTATTGATCCGGTATCTAACGGAAGAGGCTTGCAGGGGGGTGGACCGTGAGTGAAAATCCTTGGCATTCAGGAACACTTCTATTAAATCATTTTGCTGAAAGTGATCTTTTTTTTTTATTTTTAATCCCAAGTAAGGCAAGAAAGCCAATAAGATGCAAGGGGTTACTGAGTGTGAAAGAATATGAGAAAAAGAAAAATATTATTAAGAAAATAAAACAATAAAAAAAAAACAGAAAAAAAAGACAGAAGATTGCATTTGAGACTGGATTTACATTTTTAAAGATCAAAGTTGACTGGAATACTAGAAGCTGTAAGAGAGTTCCCAAAACCAGAAATGTGAGAGAAGACACTGTTTGCATAGAATTTACGGTTACGTCTAACAATTTCAACTTTCAAAAGATGAAACCTTCACGCAAATCTAGTTCTTTAAATTCGTTAAATTTCGGTACCAAATATGAAAGTTCATCAGAACAATTAGCAGGACAATATTTAAAGAAAAGAGGACGTACGCTACGGTCGTGAGAAAATGGCTGATTCGAAGTGCCAGATGAAAACCAATGGTATTGCAGATTATTTCTATTTTATCAAGAATCTTTTAGTCCGCTAATATCGACATTTGTAGCCCGGAAATTTTACCGTGGTAGTCAATGAAAAACAATTTTGACCATAAGAATTATCTGCTCTTAGACCCTTCGGTATTAAATGAGATACGGAAAAGTAATACATAATTCTGGCTGACACAAGGACACAGCTGTGAGCACACTGTGTGTATCGAGCAGATTACACTCCAATAATTGCGTGATAGCCGAGTTCATTAATCATAAACTCTTAGAGAGGTGCCCTTATATATAACATGTATGTATGTGTGTTCTATAGACTCTAGTCTAGTATAGGATCACAACCTTGCCACCTTAGGTGTTGCGGCTGTTGGTTACTATAAAAAGTGGATCGGGTTGCTAACTATGTGCTCAACCTGTTTTGAATATAGTGTGTTGGTTCTCTTAGACTGGTCGCTATCCAAGGCTAGCGATCCTAGGTTAGCCAGCTATTGATCTCTAATAAGGAAGACAAAAGGTGAATTTATACCTTTTGAAGGGTAACTGTAAGAACAAACGCAGCGGGCTCTACTGGAATTTGAACTCGGCTCGACAATCCTGGACGATAAGCGCTACACTATGCGCAGTTCCATATACATATGCCTCCCAGAAATACCGATCATATATAAGGACATTAACTAGACGAATACGCCATTGCCACTTGCCTAAGTTTACTAGCAGCTCACGGGTGGCAGTTTTAAAATGTGGAACGCATTTTTTCTGCAACCTCTAGCTAATGTCATACCCTTATGTCGCAGGCATTTTCGGTAGGTATATATGGGGGGTATTTCTATAAGGTCCATGTTTGTCGAGTACGTGTTATACATGACAAATATGTCTCAGTACAAGACAATATACACGATGTCTGAAAAAAAGTGATATCATTTTAAAAGCTATTATCTTGAAAACTACTAAGTCTAGCTCAATGAAATTGAACAGTTTATAGGTTGAACGTCATAAGTTTATTATGGGACCAATTTCAGAAGTATTCAATATATGCACCGCCTGTGACACGGCACACGTCAAATTGGTAGTTAAGCTCTTGCCAAACACGTTCTAGCATGTCTCCGGTAGCATTATCCAATGCGGAAGTGATTCTATGCTAGCAGGAAGAAGGTAACATAGACTGGACCCTTCACATATCCACATTTGAAGTAATCACACCGGGACAGGTCTGGTGACAGTGACGGCCATTTCTTCAGAAAACTGTCTTCATCTCCATCACACCCGATCCATCTCTATTGCAGATTCTCATTGCGATAAGCACGTAATCTCCTTTTCCATTAAATACAAAATCTTGATCTGTTTCTATCCATTCTTTGAAAATTTGAGGTTATTTCAACAAGAATCGCCAAACGTATTGGCTTGCAAAATGATGTATTTTCGGGGGGGGGACTCTGTATATGGGAACGCAGTAAATTTCGAACATTTTACCCGGAAGTCAGGGTTCACGAGACGAGGACATTAACATTTTATTATGACCATTTCACTCGAAGCAAGAAGATAATGCCACTTAGAGTGAAAGAGAGTGTGAAAACTTTAGAATGACAATAAAAGAACAGGTTTCAAGAAGACAGATGATGGCGATTGGCGTTGCATTTAAATTTCTGTAGATCATAAATGGAAGGGAAGTAAGAAAAAAAATGAAGTAAAACCTGGCAGGCGAAAATGGCGAGAAGATATTATATTAGAAAAGAAATGACAGTTACAACTACTTTAATTCTATATCTGTCTATATCTGTGAGATACGGTATTATGATTACTTGCATTATTCACATTATTCGGACTCTTTTTCTCATCTTCATTCACATAGTCACAATGTTTCGGGTGTTGTACGCTCCGGCCTTCTTTAGGTGATTGGAATTCAACCTAATTCAACTATGAGTCCTTGTTGCCAATCACGTAGTAAGCTAGACAGATAGAAGCCTCATCAGAGCTGTATGAGAGTAACTGAAGTTGTGATGCCAGGTCAGGATCGATATTTTTACAAACCCTTTGGATTTTGTCGTTAGTCTCAAAATATATAGCAGCATATACATGGCAGCATTATTCATATGATTATTACTCGGCAATAATTAATAATAAACTAGAGAAATAAATCTGAAAACAAGATATCCATTGAAAATAGTTTAGTCTGGCTCAAGGACAACGTTGCCAGGTACACGTCAAAATTGAACTAGCTCTGTTATATTTATTGTGGGTTAAAAGTATTTTCGTCATTGACAGACCGCCATTCCAAAGATATACATATACACAGCTAAGTGTTATATATGTCTCCGCTGAATTATTAATATTTTTAGCCATTTAGTGTTTGATCTGAAGATTTACTAGTCTAATGTTTTGAAAGATGACGAAATACATATGCAGAGTTAGGATGAAAGAAGCTTTATTTTGAAAAGATTGAAACAAACTGCAATATTTAAATGAAATTTCCGGAATTTTGAAAACGCAAATTACTCGAAACTCGCGTGTTTGAAGTAGTAAAAGAAGTCGCAAGGCGGATTTGACAGTTAAAATGAAATATTTAATCACTTCAGAGCTTAAGAGCGGTAAGACGAAAATGAAAGTTCCAGAAATGACCGGCATCCGATTCGTTGTTTGTTGCAGATACTGGACCTTGCAAAAGATGCACAAAAAAGTCCTATTTTCTCAAGATTTTTCAAAAAAAAAAATAAAATAAAATTAGGGGTTCTGGCGACGAAGAAAAAGCACAAAATGTCGACTTCTATATCAAATGTCAAAAAAATAAGATCCCAATTATTGTGCGGGCTTTAAAAGTCATCAGTAAGTAAAATTGAATAAAATGGACGAAGAGAATACGTGAAGTTCGACTCTTTAGCTATCTTTTCAACGTTCTGCTCTCCACGGAACATATTGATAGAGCAAAACCTAGGTAGCTACTGGCTGGAAACACACACACACACACACACACACACACACACGTAATAAATATATATATATATATATATATATATATATAGACACAGACACACTATATATATATATATATATATATATGCATAATTCATCAAAAACGACAATGTACGACGCTTAAGGATTTTATTTAATTTTCTCGAGTTCGCACAAAAAGCTTTCTTTTTTGGGACACAGAAATACTTCCTGCATAATGGTAAAATATCAGTGGCAATGGTATCGTTACTTAGCTATGTGGGAAGTATTTCTGGGATGTATGCGTGGGATGTATTTCTACCGCACTTTTTCTTATGAACTGGAGACTCCTTAATTGATAAAAATAATCAATATTTTTCGATTCTGACGAATGTACACCCTTGTGCATACTAATTGAAACAACAACTGTAGGTTTTTTCTTTCACCATATGGTCAATTTTAGACCAACTGGAATGACAGGGCCTAATCGATTTCTATTTTTTCACGCCCAGAAAGTATTGTCTCGACTGTCGATTAGTTGTCCTACGGCCTTTGTCTGCGATCGACGTTACTGCAAGGAAACATTTGAAAATTGTAAACGCTGCACAAACATACTGGCAAGCCTTACCAGTGAGCAAATCAAACTACTATGAATTGGCCCGGAAACTCTCCTTATGTTAATCCATTCGAGAATCTGTGATCAATCTGCATGGAACGACTTCGTGGAATGGACATACGAAGTACTAACATATGCACTGGGTCATGTTTCATTGGGAAAATACGAAAAAAAAGTAAATAACGGAATTATTCGTTTTGTTTCAATTAATGTGCACAAGAGTGTAACCGCTTGAAGAACATCGTTACAAATTTATTACGCTTCTTTGGAGTTACGTCCGTCGCAGATAATGACCGTAGGACAACTAATAGACAGTCGAGACAATAATGTTTAGGCGTGATGCAATCACGGACACCATTCACTTATTTTTTATTTATATTTTACTAGAGTACTCGTCAATTTTGTTAGTGACTCGTCACTCCAAGCTAAAAGTTATAAAATACATGAATAATATAAGATTTTTTTTCTCATATTTAGGATTTTCAAACATTAAAAAAAAAATTAGTTAAGTATTATACCTGAAATGGTTTACAAAGTTTACCTAAATTTCATTTTAAAGTTTATTTCCGCTTTTGTTAAGCCCGCTTCAGACTAGTGGCAAAATTTAAGGATTCTTCGCATTCTTGCGATACAATCAAACGGCATTTTCTTTAACCAAAAAAAAACATCAAGGCCGGATGTAATATACGCAAGTCAGTTTTCATCAATATCGACTCTGCAACGACTCCATGTAAATGGAGAAACATCATATCCTCGTATATTTAATATTAGTTTACGATGATGAAAGGTGATGGAAAAAATTAGTGGCTGATGGCTTTAAGAAAATTCGATTAGTTCTAAAAGTCGGTAAACATTCATCTATGGAATGATGTAAGTCCGGGAAAGTAAGCGAAAGGACATCAATAGGAAACATAAAGCTTTTAACGCGGTGTAAACTCGTCAAAAAGACAGACACTGCTATGGAC